TTAAGAGCGTTATGGCACACTGATACAGGAAGCTTCAGAAACCTTGAAGCCTTTGGTTCATTATTTCTGAATCTAAAAACCTTTATGGGTTCCTGGGGCTCTTGTGATGCCTCTCAGTTGTATTCTTATTAGAATGTGGTGACTGGAGCACACACAAAGGGATAACAAGCAGATCTCTCCTTGCAGGAAACAGAGGCAGCAACTGCAGAGCAAACATCATCCTTATTTAATGCAGGCACTTTGTCTGAGTTGCTTTAAGAGTTCTTTGGCACTGCACATTACCACAGAAAACTTTTTGACACAACACACTTAATTAGATGATTTCTACAAAACAAGAATGTAGAGCTGACACCATGAAACTTCAGAAAAGGATCCGCATTAAATCTAGCAGGTCGGATAGAGTGCGTGTATGAACCACGCGATACAGCCTTAACATTACACAAACCCACCGAATAAATGTCACCCACAGAATCACATCTTTCAGTCACATTTACAGCCACGCTCTGTCTCACACACACACTTTTTTTCTCTCTCACAGACACACAAAGTCACAGCTTTTCCACTCACACGTTCTGTTCTGAAACCACAGGCACCACAAATAGCCATCATCACCTCTCTGCCTCTGTGCCTCTTGTCTGGCAGCTTATTACATGTAGTTAAACTCAGCCATCCAGCAGTCACCCCCACCCCAAAAGAGAGTACAGCTCCATCCTCCATGCTAGAACTCAAAATCAGAAAGCGGCCGCCCTTGGTGTGTAACTATTATCCAGGAACATGTTGAGTTTAGATTGAATTTTCTGGAGAGGCCATGAGTTCATTTGTATATGAGCAAAAGTAAATTTTGTTTTGTTTTTTTAATGACAGGCATCTCCTAAGGTGGTAAATTAAATATCTTTAAAGTCTCAGATAACTAAAGCATAATGACAGAGAATGTATATAATAGTTACCAGTGCTACTTTGTGGTTGCTCGGTTCATTATTTAGTCATTTAGAAACACAACTGGAAAAAAAAACTACCATCATGAGATCCAAGAGCCCAGTGAGACCTTTAAATTGTTAGTTACAACTAGATACTTCTTTTTCTGAAATTCTGAACTTCTGTTTTTTTAGACAGAAAAAGAATAAAAAAAAGAGGGAAAACTGTACATTTTTTAATCTAAACAGAAACACTGGGAAAAGTGTTGAACATCTATATTAGTTGAAAACAATGTAACCATTTTTAAATGTTTGCTAGACAGAACTTAAAAAGAAAGAAAGTAACTAATAACTAAATACTTAATCAAAAAGTATGCACACAGGATGCCCAAGCTGACCACACATCAATTTAGATATACTGGAGACATGTATAAGGTAAACAAGTATGATAGCTTTAGTTTGTACTCTGAATATCCTAATAAAGTTCCTTTCAAGTAGATGAAACACTACTAAAACAGGACCACCATAAACAGGAGGAGTACTTTTAGACTTTCATTTAGACTTTCACCCCCATTAATGTGAAAAGTGGCTGGTGTCTGGAGGAAAACCAACAAAAACACAATATCACAGTGATGTTTTAATGATTCCCACTTGGAGCTTGTCAGCTCAGGAGTCAGGAGTCAGATGGAGCAGCAGCTCTGGAGCTGGCACACATTCAGAATCTTACTTAAGCAGACATTAACAGGGTGGATCATTGCTGACAAGGGGGTATGAAACCATTTTTGCAATAAAGGAGAGTCTTTTTAACTCTGTACTATTACGCCAACACCCACAGTCATTCTCGAACGACTCCACCCTCTCAACTATAAACTAAACAGTTATACAGTATGTTTTAACCTCAAGGCATCTAATGAGGCAAACAGGCTACATACTAAATCCCTAAACTCCTCTCTAACATCGAATTGCAAAATTGTTCTTAAACTGTATAGATACCAAACATCTTATACAGCAGGAGGCTTTAAAAAAAGAAGAAAGGAAGGAAGAAAGGTACAAAGATGTTCTGGCTGTATGTGTTTAAGAAACGATATTCCAGAAAAAGGAGGGATGGGAAAAGCTGTTAAATCCACCAACAGACCGTCTGGACTTAGAGGGTTTCACAGCACTGGCCATGAAATCTCCAACACACCACTGTCAGCTGGCAGGAGTCTGCACGCACACACACTCACACACACACACAAGCAGCCCTGGGATTAATCCTGCATTTGGTTGGCATCCACCAGCAGGCTCATGTAGATCCAGCTGAATATCAAAACATATTCGGAAGGGATTTTTCAGGACAGGAATTAACAGCCGCAGAACCTAAAAGAGCTGAGATAAAAACACTACCTCCAAAGTAGGACCAACAGCTTTTTCACACGCAATGATCACTGTTAGGAACACGGGGAAATACCTCCTTTTAATGTGCATACTATAGATTAGCTACACATATGATGTAGATGGAGAAAAATGCAGAAGAAGGTGCTCTCAGTTTAATGTACTGAAGCCGCTTTAATGTCAAAATCTAGAGCGTTTCCACATTGACACAGTGATAAGGACACTTCAAAGTTTGATAACAGAACTGACCTTGGATGCTTGAGGTTAACAAACAGGATGAAACATTTCCAGGGAAGACGTCCCAGTAATTTAGAGACTTTTACTTGGGGGAAAGTTTTTTTGAGGTGATTCAGCAAGAGACTCTTTCACTTCTTAGAGTTCATTCAAAGCACTAAACATGGAAAAGTACTAGCCCATGTGTAAATACATAATGCAAAAAACCTATAAAATATTAAACTTGTTTGAAATATTCATTTCAGTGGGCAGAAGGAAAAGACTCACACTTGGGCTAACTGCAAGGGGGCTTTAAAAGCACAGGAAAAATCTTACTCCTTGTGAGGCTAAATATGGACAAACACGCTGTAATCAATCAGCGCACACAAACCTTTAAAATGGTCAGAGTTTAAAGGACTGTATAAATATGTGTCCATGACTTCACAGAGGAATCTCCCCAAACTATGGGAGAGGCTTTCTTCACGACAGCTGGGAAGGACGCCAGGCGCATACACAGCATGCACTGGGGCTCATGTCACCAGCTGAACCTACACATGTCCAGACAGGTCGCCTTTCTTATCTTACACTTTCATTTAGACAGGCTGATTCCTACAAGAGTGGCTGCTAGTGCTGCGCGATACTTCAAATATTATTATCGAACCAATACCAAGTAGATACATGGCCAGTATTGCTGATACAGACACCAATACGTTTAGCCTATTAAGGCAGCTTATATGGGGGAGAGCCATGTGTTATGACTTGTGAAATAAATAATTACAAGTTTGTAAATTCTGAACACATTTTAATGACCACTAAGTCATAACTTTAATCTCAGCCAAACCGATTTACTCAGAAGCAAATAAAATACTGAAAAAAGCCAAACAATAACATTTTTAAGTTATCTAAGTGACTCATATATCATGTTTAACCTGAGTAGCGAAAGACGGCGGTGGGTTTGAAAACGATTTGCAGGGAGTCACCGGCTCTAGAGAGCCGTGCCCCCGGCTAGCTATCAAGCTAGTGGGTAACAGACGTCTCCGAAAACGTCGGAGCGCTTTTGAAAATATGTGGTGTCTTGATAAACTGAGCAGATATTTGA